TGTGTGTGTGTGTGTGTGTGTGTGTGTGTGTGTAAGCAGAACAGCCCTTCCATCTCCCAGGCAGAGGTTGACTCTTGAACCTAATGACAACAGTTTACATGGCACCTTTGCTGACTGTCTGTGACCGATTTGTCATGAAGTCCCCAGCTGCCATAGAATCGGGGGCACAAATGGCTCGGAGGTTTCCTCCTGTCCATAATGAAGCCCGCTTTTGGCAGGGGCGTGGTATTATCACCCTTGTCTGATAAGTGGGGAAACTGAGGCGGGGGGTGAGGAACTTACTTGCTGGAAGGGGTTGTGCCTGGAGCTGAGACTCCTGGTCTCAGAGGCAGTGTCTCCATCTGTCCTGGCTCACTGCTGTGCCCAGGGGACAGAGCGTGGCTCCCCCTTGGGACTACTAGGGCCAAGAGCCTAGGCTACCCCGTCCCCATGCCCGTGGCAGGCCAGTGCTGTGTTGCTTCCTCTCTCAGCAGTGTCAGGCCACACTGGTGCTCTCTGCCCTGTGCTGGTGCTCTGGGTATTGCCTTCAGGCACTCTTGTCCTTAAAGCGGCTGCCTCTCTTGCAGGAAGCAGCGCCAGGGCTCGAAGGGGCCTGCCCCCAACCCGCCCCCCATCCTCAAGGTGTTCAACCGGCCCATCCTCTTCGACATCGTGTCCCGGGGCTCCACCGCCGACCTGGATGGGCTCCTTCCCTTCCTGCTGAGCCACAAGAAGCGCCTGACGGATGAGGACTTCCGAGGTGAGCCCCAAGCGAGGTGTTGGAGGGGAGCCCGGGCTACAGCGGGGTGATGCTGTGCCCCCTCCTGCTGAGTCTGGGGTGTCCCTGGAGCCAGGGTCTGTGGCTCATAACTGGACCATGGTGAGTCCTGGTACTTCTGGCCCAGCGCAAACTGCAGCTGGTGCTGGTGTCACAAGCCACAGGTGGTCCAGAGTGGGGGTTCCCTCTGCAGCCTGGCCTGGCCTCCCCTCCTGAGGTTTGCAAAGACCTTGGAGCTGCCACTGACCAGCCCTCACAGCCCTGCCACTCCCTGCCCCCCTTAGAGCCCTCCACAGGGAAGACCTGCCTGCCCAAGGCACTGCTGAACCTGGCCGGAGGGAAGAACGACACCATCCCCCTGCTGATGGACATCGCCGAGAGGACGGGCAATCTGCGGGAGTTCCTGAACTCGCCCTTCCGAGATGTCTACTACCGAGGTGCGGGGAGTGGGGCCAGCCATGGCTAGCCCCACAGAGGGATGGGGGGAGCTGGAGGGCGAGCTGTGCTTCTGTGTTTGGGTGGGGGTCTGCTACTCAGGGCGCTGATGGACTACATCTGTTCCAGGCCAGACTGCGCTGCACATCGCCATTGAGCGCCGCTGCAAGCACTACGTGGAGCTGCTGGTGGAGAAAGGGGCCGACGTGCACGCCCAGGCACGTGGACGCTTCTTCCAACCCAAGGACGAGGGAGGCTACTTCTACTTTGGTGCGTGGGGGACATCCCCTTCCTGCCCCAGGGGCATTGCAGCTGAGACATCCGGGCATGGCAAGCAGGCAGAGATGTCCCAGCCTGCCTGGCTCACCTCCATTGTCTCCTCACCCTGTGGAGGGGACAGGACAAGGCTCCCCTCAGGTGCCAGCACTTCCCAGGGCACCCACACACTGAGGAAACACCCTGCCCAGCCTCCCCCGCCCCCCAGTACAGTGCCACCAAAGCCATCCCAGCATGAAGTGCCAGCGCTCTGGCAGGGAGTTAGTCCAGGCCAGGTTCCCAGCCAGCCCATCACACCCCTGTCCCCATCAGGCGTGGTGCCAGGCACTATGTGGGAGGAAAGGCTTGGGGCATGGGCAGATGCCACAGGCCTCCTGAGCCCAGCAACAACACCTCCCTCTTGGTGTCACCATGGGAACAGTTCCCCACTGTGCCCCTCACGGCCCGGTGGGAGCTGAGAGCTGCCCCCACCTCAGCCCACTGACCCTGACCCCTGACACCTCCTGCCCGGTGCCCGGATCTGAGAGCAGGGCTTTGAGAGCTGATGTCAGCCTGGCACTGTGTCTTCCCCCTACCAGGTGAGCTGCCCCTGTCCCTGGCCGCCTGCACCAACCAGCCGCACATCGTCCACTACCTGGCGGAGAACGTGCACAAAAAGGCAGACTTGCGGCGCCAGGACTCCCGTGGCAACACTGTGCTGCACGCGCTGGTCGCCATCGCTGACAACACCCGGGAGAACACCAAGTTCGTCACCAAGATGTACGACCTGCTGCTCATCAAGTGTGCCAAGCTCTTCCCCGATACCAACCTTGAGGCCCTGCTCAACAATGATGGCCTCTCGCCCCTCATGATGGCTGCCAAGACCGGCAAGATTGGGGTAAGGGTGGTGGGAAAAGGGCCAACCCACTCAGGGCTCCTGAAGCAGAACTCCTCACCCCCCTATGGCCCTGCACTGTACCTCAATAGCCCCATCCAGAAAGGGGGAAGATGACAGTGACCTGGCTCATGGTAGCTGAGGGGGAAGGGATGGAGGATTGAATGGGTGTGAAGCACCTTGAGGGCAGAGACCCAGAGACAACCTGGGGTGGGGGGGAGGCATTGCCTGTTCCTGTGTTAACACTGTGGGTCTGGGGTCAGGCTGCACATTTCCAGTGAGTTTCAGCTCCTCCCAGGCTGAGGAAGGGTCAAGAGGGGAGATGGGTAGAGCAGAAGGTAGAGCAGGGGGTCCTATGCCTGGGATTTTGGGGCAGATTAGAGCCCTGCACATGAGAATCCCAGCTCAAGTGTGCAGGTTATTGTGTGACAGGTATCCAGGTTGTAGCTGTATTGGTCCAAAGGAAAAGGCAATCAGGACTCGGAGTAGAGGTAAGATCTTTTATTAGACCAACTAGATTTTTGCAAAAAAAGAAAA